CAGCGGTTCCGCCGGCACCCGCTGCCCCCGGCTGGGCGTCCGCGGGAGGCCTGAGGGTTGTCTCGCCGAAAATAGCGTTGCTTGCCCTCTTTCTCTAGAAACGACGAGATAACTAGCTTGCAGCAGTAGTCTTTGGGCCAGTTCGTAACACAGGCTTACCGTGAGAGCTTGTGGCGCCAGAGCGTAGCCTGAGCAGTGCGTGCACCGCAGCACTTTCACACGTCAGGAAAACGAACCTAAACCAAAAGTTCTTTTACCAACTTTACGTTGTGCTTTTTCTCTGTTAAATTTGTATTCGATCTACATGTGTTTCCAATACATTCCCTCTAGACAAGTATGGAGCTGAACTGTGGTTTGAGTTTAACAGGGAATAGCAGAAATAAACTGAGCTAAGTTAGTGAGAGAAAAGTGTAAGGGAAGAATGCTGCAACCAGGACTTTTATTGAGGTAGAAAAGCACACACCCATGACATCTGGTATATCCAGACTGAACAAGTCAGCTTTCCCAAGTCATTTTAATATTTAGTTGTAGAGAAAATTGTGTATTAAGCTCTGCTAAACTTTGTACATGGATTTCCTAATTTTACTGCGGCTATGCTGTAAAAAAATTTTTAATAAAGTTTTTTGTATTGGAAGTTTATGTTGGGATTTTTTCAGGGTACTTATTGCATTTATATTAAAACCAGAGAATACAGATCTGCTTAAAAACATAAAGATAAAATACCAAATGATGTTTTTAAATAGCACAAGCTTGTAGAAAATAATCTAGTTGCAAACTACTTGTTTTTACACTGAGTTTTTGTTTAGGAAGGTGTTTTCCTGTGGTAGTGATATATAAAAAACATACATACTTGCCTTGAGAAGTGTGTTTCTCTGAAGGAAAAAAGTTGGGCATTAGGGGTTTTTTTTAATTCTTGTTGCTGAGACCAGTTTTGTATATTTGCCCTTCAGTTCCATGAATTTGCCAAGACATGTAGTAATATTCTATGAAGCTTGGAATATTTATGCTGACTCCCAGAGCTCCTATCCTGTCTGAATTAATGGCTGAATAAATAATACTAATTTTCACTTTTTTTTTTTTTTCAATGCAAGTTTTTCTTGTGTGCCTTGCATTACCTCTGACATCTGGTTTGTTTCTCCAGTTTGTGATGGCTGGATCATATATGGGAAAACTGATTTTTAGAACTAGTCATTAAACTTCCTTGGGTTTAATTCTTTTTAGCAAGGCCCCCCACCATCACTGTAGTAGTGTTTCTAGGTAGTTTAATGTTTCTTGACCAAATTTACAGGTCTGTTCCTGTGCACAGAAGATGCCAGTGCTTTTAAAAACAAAATGTGTTGCATCCTGTTGTGGAGTAATGCGAAATTTACATTTCATGGGAACTTGGATGTGAACGCCTGCCAGAGGCATTTGTTCAGGGTGCATGTGGTTGCTCCCAAAGCTTGTAAGCCATATAGACTAGAGGAGAAGACGAGTTCCGGTGTGCTGTGTAGAACAAAATTGATTGTCTAATAGATCAAGAGATTTTTATATAAAGATGTAGAGCATTGGTGCTTCACAGCGGCTGCTCCACATTGCAATTTAGGTTCTTCACAGGTTGGCACTGCATCTAAGTAATGTCACACACAAGGTGCTAAAAACCAGAGCTTCCTTACATCTGTTAGATGTCCACCAAAGTCCTTTTTGCTGTGTTCACTGGCTGGGAATTTATAGACTATTTAGGAAGTTTGAGAAGACAAGATAGTGGAAACATGGAGAAGACCAAAGAATACTTAGTTGTAAAGAAAAGTTTAAATGTTCTTTGGGACATAATGATCACATGTAGCAACATGATCTGAAAACAGAAGGAGAATTCAAACCGCTGTTGACTGTATCACACAACATGTCTGCTGAGACGGCATCGGTACAGAGACAGCGAGGGGTAGTTCAGTTGATTGGAGGCTGATTACCAATGGCACTTTGGGTGTGTTTTCAGTTGTCTGTGTAAGGTAAATCTGTATGTCTTAGTGAAGTTGCAGGAAAGATAGAGGCAAAAAATTAATAAAACTGAACATTTGGAGTATGTGAACAGTGTGCTCCTTAAAATAGTGTGCAAATTGGGTATGTTTGAATATCTTCAAATGCAGATTATTGAAAGGGCTGTGTTAATGCCCAGGGAGAAGCACGCTGTGATTTTACGTTGATATTTGTGAGTCTAGAATTGTTCCTGCGTATTGGGTCATGTTTAACTACAGCTATATGGGTTGAACCATCAAACCACCGAGAATAATCCTGTGGCTGTTAACAGCAGCCATAAAATCATTAACTAGTTCAGTTACCTTTGTGGGCATTTATGCTGCCAGTTGGTGCAAAGGAGCTAGCAGTACACTGCTGTTAGTTCGAGCTGTCTGGGCCTCCTCTTACTGTGGACAATAATGTGCGAGCCTGAGGTACACAGTAAGCACAGTAAATATCTGGGTTTTTTTCCCCCTTTGTTCCTGCTACATCATTTCTTACCAAATTGCACTCATGTTAGTTTGGTGGTGTTAGCCAAGTGTGGGAACATCTAGACGGCAACAGCTTGGCCAGAAATGTGACACAGGTTTTTGGAGTGAAAATAACACTAGGTGTAGTAAAGGTTGGTTTAAAAATGTTAATTATTAAGAGCCTTGATTAATTAGTAAGCTTGAAAGTCCTACAACAGGATGTGTAGAACACTAATGTTAATCAGCTTACTGGCTGTAAGTAAATTGCATTTTTTGTCTTTTAAAGGAAATTCGACATAAATCCAGTGACTACCCTCATAGAGTTGCAAAATACCCAGAAAACAGAAATCGAAACAGATACAGAGATGTTAGTCCGTGTAAGTATCTTCTGTGTAATTATTGCTGTAAACTTTCTAGACTTTTTACTTACCCAGTTTACTTTTAAACACTAATAAATCATGGTCATTGTAGGTTTTGTATTTTGTTTGTTTCTGTAGGCATGTATCCTGTGATAAATGTGGTTTTTGTAACTCACAAACGTGTGTAAGGGGAGAACAGTCTGCCGGTTAAACTCATTGTATTGAATGGTGAATGAGGGATGATTGCAGATCATAGTTATTCCTATATAGGTAAATGTTTGTGAGCTGCAAAGTAGTATTTTAAAGATACTTTTCTCATAAGGAAGTTGTTTGTTTGATATTGATTTATCTGTTATTAAAAAAATCATCGTCTGCTGAGCACAGAAATTAAGTTAATAAGCCTTGACTAATGCAATTTCCTTTTGGGCTAAGTGATTCTGCACATTTATAAGATTGTATGGGTAACTGCCACTCAATTTCTACTGTTGCTTTAAAAAATACTTGAGATTATGTTATTTTTGTCTGTTCTGAAGAATGTATGCATGAAGTTGTTCCTTAGTTTTCTCAATGCAAGTGGGTACAGTATGGTGTCCTTTGTATTTTACTAACTGCCATAAAATGGTCTTTGTGACACAATGATCTTACATCTCAGGTGAAGACAGCTTTTTTTTACCAGCTTCTTTGATACTGAGGTGTTGTGGATTTTTTTCCAAGAGTATTTACTTTAGAGACTGTAATCCAGGATCGTTGTAAGAAGACCAGTAAGCAAAAGATTACTTATATGTAGTTATAGTTGGAGAAAGCTGTCATAAATCACTTTCAGAAGGACTAGGAAAAAAAATACAGTGCAGCCTTAGTTTTTCTACAAAATATTGAAGTTGGAGCAGGTTAAATGTTTGTGTGTTATTTAGTACAAAGTTTCCCAGAGCACCAAAGGCTGTTCTTGTAACTGGATCTAGAGTTTTTGAAGAGTTGCTGGTGTATTGGGGCTTTTTGTGTGAGAGCCTAATCAGAATACCTATTATAAGATTTGGAGAAGTGCTGAACTCCTCATTTCCAGTTGAAAGCTGTGGTAAGGGCATGTGCATAGCACTTCTCAAAATCACACGGCAAGGATCTTGGGTTGAGTCACGCTGGTCAGAATGAGTGCTGCATGCTGCTCGTTGTACGGCTGCCGGAATGTGGACTTGCACAGAGTATTCCCACCAACTGGATCCACTCTGGCTTAATGCTGAATCTCAGTCCTGTGCTCTGAACTTAGGAGTTGAGTGCACGGCCTCTCTGCTGTGTCTGCATAGCATTCCCCAGTATGGCTTGTTCGAGAAATGTACAGTGCTGAAGAAGGTACCTCAAGTTAGTCAAGGCTTGCTGACTCCTGCTGTATGCTCAGCAAAGGGAGACTTTTGTCCACTGTGCAGAGGTACTGAGATGTCCCAGGTTTGCTGTCCTTTTGCAGCACAGCGTTCAAAGGTTGGACTCAGTGATCTTGAAGGTCTCTTCCAACCAAAACTGTTCTATGATTCTATGATTAGCATCTTACCAGTGATAAAGTAGATCACGTTTTATTCACATTCTGTTTCATACCTAAATTGGGATGGTGGTTGTAAGAAAAGAAGGCAGGAAATTGGATTTGAACCCATGAGACCCAGGTTCTATTCCTGGGTCCAGTGTCCTATACAACTGAATTCATGCATTTGCCATTTCTTCTATCTGTAGATTTAATTTCTTAGACAGTACAGTTGTGTTAGACAGTTGTGTTAGACAGTTGTGTTAGACAGTTGTGTTAGACAGTTGTGTTAGACAGTTGTGTTAGACAGTTGTGTTATTTGAGTAGCCTCTAATAATACCTGCAATAGTATCTTAGAGGTGTGGGTTGTATTCATCTCCTGTAGTTTTTTGGAGCTCAATTTTCCTTAATCATGGCATGGTTTTTACAGTAGTGAAGAGCACCCAACCACTCTGCCTGGTTCATGTCATAGCCTGCTTCTGAAATGCTCGAAATTCCTGGAGATATTAATTATGTGATTGTATTAATCCCTGGACCCTGTGCAAGAGCAGAGAGACAGTTAGGTAAAATCTAGTCTTGAAGTAGTAGTCGGGCTTAGGAAAGGGTTAGCATTGTTACATGCTAGTTGACATGAAATATAACATGATGACTGAACTAATATGGTGAACTTTGAGGCGTGTCTCAGTTTTTAGCATTTATGAAAGAAGGAAGGTTTGAATTGGGCCACCAAGATCGAGTGCAGAACTGGGCAGCAGGAGCAAGGCTGTCTGAGGGGAATGGGGCAAAACACAGGTTGAACTAATTCGTGTTGAATTTTACATCTGGGAGTTTTCAAATATGACTCATAATTGTTTCTGTAAAGATGGTGAGAATTGGGAGGAGAAAGATGCCTGGAAGGGAATATATGCTAAATAACATTCCAAGAGAGCAGTACTTGAATTTCAAAGCAGCGGGGTAAAAGCTGTGCAGTTTGGTCACTGTGGTGAACACATCTAATTGTGGTGCGTGTGTGCAAGGAACTGGCATCACAGACAAGCCAGACAACTCAGCCTTACACAATCTTGACATCTCGCTCCTTCACTTCGCAAATTTTACTGCTCTTTAACTGTGTTTAAATGAAAACTGTGTGATAATACTAATATTCTCTGGTAGTCAAAGACCTGAAGAACTAGCAGTTAAACTTTTAAGGTCTAGCTACTTAAACATATTGTAAGACATAAGACAGAATTTGATGAAAATGTATTTCTCCACAGCAGTGAGAAAATGGTTTATTAATCTAGATAGCAGCCAAGCCAGTCCAAAATCTGAGGTGGTATGTCTGCAAAAGGAAATGCAAAGATTGTTCTGTTTCATGGAAAAGTTGTCAATTACAAGTGCAGGAAAAAATGCTTTGGGTTGGTTTGCCCCATTTCAACTGTAATAGGTAGGACAGGTACACTGAAACCAATTTGTGTCCGTTATGTACTTTTGGAGGTAAAAGGTGATTTCTGTTAGCTGGGAAAGGCTAATCACCTTTCCCTGTAACAGTTGAGTTTCACATTGTCTACAGTTTCATAAATATTTTTGTTAGTGTCCAGTTTTGTGGGCTAAAGAGCTATGGCGTGTGTAAGTTTGGTTGGGTAAAAGCCCTCAAGAGTTACTGCCTAGCCAAAAAAAACAGCAGTCTAGCAGTTTGGTATTAGTCTAGAATAGAGAGAGGAATATTTTGGCTATGTAGTAGTATTGAAACAGGAAGTTAATCTGAAATAGGTTTGGTTTGACAGCCAGTCATTTCCTGACAGATGAAACCATTTCTCAGAAAACATTGTTATGAGAGGAAAATAACTTGTCAGGTTATTATTCTTTATTGATAACTTCATGATTGATATGATGGCATTCGCTGCGTACAACCAGTGACAGGGTGGGGAAGAGTCACTTTGCCTTTCTTTTGCCTTAGGCTACCTCTGAAACTTGAGACTGTAAGCCTGTTGACAGAGTATTGTAATTTGAATAATTTAGCAGTTTAGATAGACTAGATTTAGATTAGTGAAATGAAGGGATTTGCTGGTAGGCAGGAAAGGGTCAGTCTAGGTCATTGGGATGGCTTATGGCTACATGTTTTATTTATGACTTTCTTTAATCCATTAAGTAGCATGTCACCCTCCTTTGTTGTTAATAGCTCTGTATTTGGGAAGCCAGAGACATCTCTTGGATAAAAGATAATTTTTCAGTTATACAGTAGCTTCACTTCTAGAAACACAGTTATTTACAAATGAAAACCTTTCTTTAGCCAGCCGCAAGAACTGTACGATGTAAAACGCTAAACATTTCATATCTCAGTTTTAACTGGATATATCATTTTTTTTTTAGCAGGGAGTGGGCAAATTGATGTGTAATGTGAAGTCTTCTCCTTATTTGAGACACGGGGAGTGTCGTCAGTGCTATCAGTGGGACAGGGTTTCACTTGGAGTGGGTAATAAGAGTTTGCTTATCTCAGACAGGGTTGTTCTGGGAGTAGTTTTCTTAGAGCAGGAGCCAGAATGAGAAGCATTTTTAAGGGTTCCACTTCCTTTTCAGGCTGCATAGTTTGATGAAATAGGTGAATTGGCACTTTAGAAAATAAGTACTATATTTCAGCTGTTGTGGGCATGGCAACATTTAAGATAAATCTTTAAGATAAGATTTAAGATAGGTTTATCATTCATATAAATCTGAAGTACTTCGTAACTGGAAATGATTTACATGTGGGAAATATGTTACAGCTAACTTGCTGTCAAAAGTTGGCTTGCTTCATTTAATTCAGAAGAGCAAGCCAGGGCTTGAATGAGGTTTCTAGGTCATTGTGTCCTTTAGGAACCTTTTCACTTGAAAGAAGGGAAATTGGTATATTCTAGTGGCTTTCTTCGCCCCATGGAGTGTAGTGCCAGTGTATTTGTAGGATTGCCTCTGTTTTGGTTAGGTAGGAGGAGGGAGACTGTCTGTGCGTAGAATTAGATGTTAAAGGGGCTTTTAAAAAACCTTTCAGAATTTTATTTGTCATGTTTACAAAGCAGAATTTATAAGAAGGAAGATACAAGGCTGAAAATATATGTAAGGATTACAGTAGGAAACCTCATTAGGGCCTCGGCAGTTATCTGCTACTGGCAGCAATACAGCAGCTGCTGCTGGGTGATTAAACTGTTAACAGCGCTTGCTTACGTCATCTTTCCGAGAACACTACTACCGGTATGTGTGATTTACTATAACAAGATCTTAAGTTTTTCCTGTTGGCGAATGACATGTAATATTTACAAAGGTCTTGGTTTCTCTCCAGTAGAAACATTTCAGATAAAGTGATACATGAAAGGAAAAAGTAACACTTTCTTATCCAGACAAAATAACACAAGGAGATATATTTTATTTTAAAATTCACATGTGTGTTAATTTTACTGTCTTGGCTTTGATAATATTTTTTTGTTCATACAGATGTGTCATAAATTAAGACTCCTGAAAGTCAAGATGGTGTTGCCTTACAGCTGGAATGCTAATGAAAACAGACTAAACCAGTAACTTTCTCATACTTTTATATTAAAATAGGTTTTCAGCATATTTCTGTTCTTTGCACGTTTGTATTGGACTGCATATAAAAGCTGGCAGCTAAGGGATTTAGGATAACAACCCCAAATCTCAGTCCTTCAAAAAAAAAAATCCAAACCAAAAAACCCAAGTAATTTACTGTTGACTTCTTTCCTTGAATCCAGCAAGGTCCTCTTTGGCAGTTGCCAGTGGCAGATAGATGAGAGAGACTGTAAAAGCAGGTCAAGACCTAGTAAATGTATTTTTCCCAGGTTTCCAAGCGCATGGAAGGTATTTATAAAGTCATATGAGTGGTCCACAGAACAAGAGTCTAATTCAGTAACTATTTTTTGGTTCCCGTGAGCTTTTTGCCTATCTAGGGTCATATTTAGGGATTTCTTAGATAAGCCTTGTGCTGTATAAACTGGCTGTGATACAGGGACTTAATCTGAGTTCAGTTATCATAGCTGCACTGAATGTGACACTTGGTAGTTGCTCATGTCAAAACTCATGGATTTTGTGCATTTCCCAAGCTGTTTTTCAAAAGGAAGTTAGCCTTTTGGTGCCAGGATGGGAGAGGGAAAAGTGGGCTGGCATTCAACAGCAGCCGTGCCATCAGTCTGCACCCCGAATGAGTTTTGTGGGGTGGACCAGGTGAATGTTGGCTAAAAACTGGCATTGCACTGTAATTCTCTCTCAGCTCTGTGAGTTTCTTTGTGGAATCTCTTCCAGCTCTTCCTGAAATGTGTTGAAGTCTCTTAAATTCATTTTAGTTTGCTATTTTTTATTTACTCTTCCCATAAACAGTCCATCTAGGCAGCTGAGCTTCAGGGGGGTTGCAGTCAGTTGGATCTTATTTCCTGGCATGCCGTTGTGTACAAATTTTAAACTAAAAATGCTGTTTATTTAATACAAATCTAATAATGGCTGAAGGATTACTTACTGTGAACAAGTCTGATTACCTAAATGTCTCCTAGAGGGTGATAAATGAGATACTAAAAGGTTCTAGGAGCAGCCACGGTGACTTTTTGTTATGCAGTGTTTTAGTATGACAGTCTGATAATCTTTCTTGTATTAATGTCAGAATTTTAAGTGGTGTCCTTGGCTTGCCTCTGCCATAAATAAGGAAATCTATATAATTGTGAGACACTGAAATATATGTTGTATAGTTCCTGTGTAATCGTGGGAGACTGAAACTGTGTAATTAGATTAGGCTTCATTTAATTGGAAGATTTGTTAAATAGGTACATCTTTGCATGTGCCCCTTCTACAGTGTTTTTAATTTGTATAGTATTAAACAATAAATTACAGGGAAGATTAAATTGATCAAAGATTGAGTTGAATTATTTCTAGATGCATTTTTTTTGTGGGTTGTTTTTTTTGTTTGTTTGTTTGTTTTGTTTTGGTTTTTTTTTACTGTGTGAGCTTAACTTAGTGACTCTATCTTAACCTATGAAGCTTCAGTTCACCAAGAATCTTTGAATTCTGAGCTTAAAGGAAATCATGCAGTGGAGTGATCTGGTGTGATAGGACAGCTCTGCCTGGTGTGGGTTATGATGCTGGTGTATTAAGGAAATGCAAGTGTTGAGGGGTGGCTGCAAACATCTTTTGGCATGTGTGGGAGGGTTGGTTTTGGTTGTTTTTTAAAGAAAACTGGGTATTGCAGTTTTCTGAGCAGCTTCTATTAATAGCTGCCTGAAATTACTCTGGTGGACTGCTGAGAGGAGAATGAGGCAGGCAGTTATCAAAGTTACATGAGAAATTAGTTTCACATGTATTTGTATTTTGATGTTTGGTTAGTGTTGCGGAATTTATTTCTAATTTCTTGTCAAACCTAAACTTGCCTGTTAGAGAGTATTCATCAAGCTGTGTGCATCGTTAATTCTTAATTTTCTTTGAATTTTAGATGATCATAGTCGTGTAAAACTGCAGAACACTGAGAATGACTATATCAATGCCAGCCTAGTGGTCATAGAAGAAGCCCAGAGATACTATATTTTAACACAGGTAAGTAGTACTAATTACTAGGTTATTATGGGGTTGGATTTGTGCAGTTGTAGTTTGTATTTGGATGGTTCGTTGTCTCTGTGAATTATCTGATACTAACTGCTTGTTTGATCTGGTTGTGAACACACTGTTTTATATTTTAAGAAAAAGCCAAAGGGAATATTTAAGTATGAATTATTTACTGCATATAAAGCTTTTAAAGTATTTCATGCTCTTTTCTTCAGTTCTTTTGGAAACAGGTTGCAACAATGCTTTTACCCCCTATTTCATCTTGTACCTTCTGAGCATGCCTGCAGTAGCTTTTCTTCTAACAGCACAAGAGTATTAATGCACAAACAGGAACATCCCTTCCTTGATTTCTTACTGTTTTGTTGCTTGTTTTGTTTTGTTTTTAAAAAAAAACAAAACAAAACTCACCACCACCCCCAGCTGTTAAGTACTGGAATGGTCTGTGCAGTGTGGTTACTTTGTTGCCTGTCATTTCTGTCATTCTATTAATTTGTTTAAACTTTTCAGAGGAAGACTTTTTCCTATTCCACACAGTGAACTATTAACTGTGTTCAAACACTACTTTGCCTATACGTTCTCACAGCCATTTTTTTCTTTACTACACAGGGTCCACTACCTAATACATGTTGCCATTTTTGGCTAATGGTATGGCAGCAACAAACCAAAGCAGTTGTCATGCTGAACAGAACTGTTGAAAAAGAATCAGTAAGTAATGTTAGGCCTAAAGCTGTCAAGTAAGCCACATAATTTTAATACAGTTGAACAATGTTTTATTGTTATGTTAGAAGAGCTAACAGACTTTCTCACTGGTGTACAACATAACGTGTATTTAATGTAACATTGAAGTGATGGAGCTAAGACATAAAATTCAGTTTGATGAGAGCAGCATGTAATAAATATACATCCAGAAAGGTGAAAGTAACATCCTGAGAAAGGAGGATGTACAGATAGAAATAAGATGGAGTGGAAGCAGTGTAAGGTGCTCTAGAACAAAATGGAAGGTGGGAAAACAAGTTTGAATTAAAGTATCTTTAGGTTGTTTCTTCTAAATCTGACAGAGTAGTATATTTGTTATATGGTGATCTTAACTGCTTGTAACAAAGACGACAAGCTGTGGCCCAGCAACTGTCAAAACTGATCTAGTTATTTTTGATTCTTTACAGCTGGTGGTATACATGCAGCACAGACAAATTTTCTGTTATGATGTAGTTTTTCTGCTAATGTGCCTAAAACCACTGTGGATTTTAGTTACGAATGCATGTCGTTTGAGGTTTATGGGTTTTTCTCAGAGTAGATTTGTTAGTGGAAAACATTTGACTAGTCCATTAAAATGTCACTGATTTTTCTTAGGCAAAAATTTTCCTACAGAAAGTCTTGAGTGCAGGGCAAGAGGAATGAAGGACAAGGGACAGTTTTGCATTATTTTGTTAGTCCATTCTTTTGTTTCACTAGAATCTTCCAGTATTCGGCAAGCCTTGGGAAAACTGGATGTGTTACATCAGTTATGTAAATGTGCAGATGTGCCCGTCAGAAATGGAGGAGGGAAATGTTGCTGAAATAGCTGAGTAAAGATCTCCGCTCACTGTGGGGAACTAGAGGGGGGAGAGGGTGGTTAAGGTGTATCTCAAAACATGCTAGCCCTGCAAGGAAAGAAAGCATAAACAGGTAAAGCTGGAATGCATAATAGTCACTGAACCATTTGTAGTAATGTGGCTGTAAACATGAACTTTGAGAATTCCTCAGACTGGGAGCAGGTACTTGAGTGTACTGTATTGAATAATGGGGTCTCAGGATCTGCTCATGCGAAGCCCAAGATACTAGGATGCTTAACCAGATTTTTCTTTTTTTTTCCCTTCTTTTTTTTTTTTTTTTAAAAAAAAACAACCCGAACATTAGGTGAAGTGTGCACAATACTGGCCAACAAAAGAAGAGGAAGTTATGACATTCAGTGAAACAGGTTTCCGTGTGAGGCTAGTATCTGAAGACGTCAAATCCTATTACACAGTACATCTACTGCAATTAGAAAATATCAACGTAAGCTTTTCTCAGTCTGCATAGCTCATGTTCCTGGGCTTAAGTATATACTGAAAACCGTTAAGCATATTGTCACTACAGGTTTGGTTGAGCTTTCACACTGAAAATTTTAATGCACTTTGCATCTGATATTGTTGAAGATTTGTATGTGATGTGTAAGTGAGGTAGACCTGAATTAATCTATACATTAAAAGAAGTAACAGCTTCATCATTTTTATACTTACATTTGCCGTTTGGCAGTACCTTAATGTGCTGAACTGTAAGTGTTGGTAGTGGTGAATCTAAGAGGAGCTCTAAGAAATACCCTGAAAGGAGGAAACTAGGACTTGAAAATTCTGATTTCTTTTGAATATCAGAAATCAGACGTGTTAATTACTGTTTTTTTAAAGTGGAACTTTCATTTTCCATATAATGCAGACCAGCTATCTAAGTTTATGGGGGGAGGGGTGATTACCACCTGTAGATAGGTAACTTTATCTCCTCTTGCTTACCTCCCCTTTTGCTCCACAGGACCAACCAACCTTTTATCTTAAAAATTAAGCACTTTGACAATTTAATCAAGTTAAGCTCAAAAAAGTTCTTCCTGGCCTGAGCTTGGGTTGGAATTTGCTGCTTCTGTTTCAGAGCTGAAGACAGGATTGAAGAGCTTGTCTGTTTGTTCCAGCTATGTCTTGTAAGATATTCTCTCTCCCTATAAAAAACCTTGCCTTATATTAATTGAAAGTGCTAGTGTGGCAAGTTGTATTCAAGGTTGTCTTGTCAGTGGATTTGGGAAAGGAAAGCTTGAAGGTGTTCTTTTGCATGTTGTTTTATACAACTAAACATTGATACATTTGGTCAAAATTACTTTAATTCATAGTAACTATTAAGGGTACCTTGAGAGAATGTTTGTTAATTCAAAACCTCCCTCACGAGATCAACATGATGAAACTTGGCGTGTTGTTCCTTGGTCTTTTCAATGTCAGAAGAGCTTTATGAAATTTTGTCCTACTGACCTGAAGAATTTCTGATCAGTTGTTTGTTTATTGACAGCAAAGGCAAAGAAAAGAGGAGTAGTGCTTGCAAGCTAGTGTCTGAGAAAGAATAACCCTCCTTTTTGGAAAGCTGAGCCACGTTTTCCTAACTACTGAAAAGGCTTCCTTGTGGAATTGCCTGGCCAATTGACGTTGGCCCCTAGTCTTAAACTTCCTGTTCTAAAAGGATGCAATTTTCATAATATGTGTATGTTTGGACTTAGCTGGACAATGCAGAAATCCCTTGAGGACCAGCACAATGTATACTATAGTAGACTTTTGAGTTGGAGCTGTTGAATGCTTAAATTTCTGTGTTTGCTTTGGGCTGGTAATGCAGGCCCATCTGTGCTGTGTGCTTTCTTGTCTGTCATGCAAATCAGTTTCACAAATATTTAGCAAACTTGTTGTATTGAATTTTTATTTTAGTGCCCTAGCACTCCTGTAAGGCTCCATGAATATTAAGTCCAAAGAGTACTTTTATATAAAACAGCTACAAGAAGCAGAACATACTTGGTTACTCAAACAGAAAAACTACATAATTTCTAGAATAACATTGCGAATGTTAAGTGCAGCCTTCTGTAAGAATTTGGTAATTATACCGTAAAGCTTGTGGGAACTGAGTATTCACAGTAACTTGAAATGTGAGCTTAACTATGTTTATACAAGTTATTCTGGAGGGGCTTTGGTGGAGGCAGAGTAGTAAAGACATTTCACCACTTGACGCCTGGAATATAAGATGAGTCACGAACAAAATATACTCTGAATTCCAAGAATACTTGCGAAATTTTGGTATTTCCTTGAAAACAGAACTAGAATTGTCTTTATAATACAACCATTCTGAACTCAAGTAAACTTGAGTTACTGCAACAAATCTAATACATAAGCAAAATACATAGGTATGAAGAGTAAAGTACTTGTTTAATGTTGTTACCCATGAAACAACCTGTGAATATTTGGTTGTTTTCATTGCTGGTGGCTTTGTTTTGTCAAAAAGCAGTTAGAAATGCAGGTGGGGTTGTGGGGGACAATGTTTGTTTGTTAGGATTGGATCAAGGCATTTGGCGTTTGATTTGTTTATATCTCTTCCAGGCAAAGGTTTGTTTTGGCTGTTGTGGGTAGTGTAGTCCAATAAAGCTTTGGAGAGGAGATGGTGTTTATTAGTATCCTTCCAAAACTTTTTCAAAATATTTCTAATGTGCATTGTCTTGCTGATGATTATTGCGGAATTTCCTTATTTTTTGCTTGGCCCAGTCTGCATTTTAGAATATAGAAATTTGAATCTGCCTTTCCTCTGTGATTCATTGTGTCTCCTCCATTGTTTTGTTGGTGTCAATTGTCAGCTCTTCTGACAGTTGACCTCTGCTTTCTGAATTGCTCAGATTCAGAACTCTACTTGAGGAAAGACTGAATGCAAAGGCTTTCGCAAACCCTTGCCTCTGTTGGAAAATATGGGTAGAAGGAAAAACTGTGCTCATGTTAAAAATTTGTAATCATTTATGTGAGAAGCTATTGCATGTCTGTGATTTGAAGCAAAGTCTCCCAGTGTACTGGACAGGTGATAGGAGTTTGAGAACCTTTTGATAAATCTGTGAAATAACCTTATTGGATGGGTTTGCTGAGTTTTGTGACAGTATTAAGGGAGAATTGTTAGATACTCACAGCTAAATTCTGGAAGACTCCACCTTGTGTTGAATATGTATTTTTATATCATTTTTTATTGCTGCTTTTAGCTTTCCTTGTCACAAGTATTAGTACTGGTCTTTAGAGAAAGAAAACTTTTGTTTTCAGCAATTTCTGATGTGGCAGCCCAGATCGTATCTTTCTCCAGACTATGTGACACATAGTGAATGCTTATAAGCAAAACCTGGCACTGTTGGTACTGGGGAATTCCAGGAGGCTATGGGAGGGCAAATGAGCATCCATACTTGAGGGACACCGGGGATTGACTGGGTGAGGAAATGGAGCAGTGGAAAGGAATTGAAATTGCTGGAGGAACTTTGATGAATGCACCTCGGACTGGATTCCTAGAAATAAGAGTAAAGCAGCCGAAGGAGAGGTTTGCAAAGAAAATATTTGCTGGAGGAGAAGGGACTAGAAGGAATGAATGAGATTTGATGTGACACTGATGGTATGATACTTTAGAGTAAGGCCCATTAATAAACCCCAAGTGGTATCTTGAGTCCTCTGCAAATAGCAAATATTTGGAAAAACCCATTAGCAAAATGGATTCTCAACCTAGTACCAAGCCTCTGTGTGGCCATTGCTGTCAGATTAAGGTGACGCAAGACTGCTTAGTGGCCCTCGCTGGCTGATCCTGTGGATGAACCAGGAAGAGTCAGTGTAGGTCAAGAAGATAAAATTTGCTTCGCTGCAAGTTTACAATGTCCAAAATTGTAAATGTGCTGAGGAGATCTTTTGTTTGTGGAGGCAAGCAGTCTAATGGCAGGTGATGTTCTGGGATCTAGTGGCATCTTTGTATGCCGATGGGTGTATGTATGTAATTCCTGTAGTGTATTGAAGGGGTGTCTGAAACGCAGCATGCACTTGATTTTAAACTTGTGGGATGTCCTTGTATCACTTTGTCAAACTGCACCAGGGATTAATTTTGGTCTTCAAGACTGAGGTGTTAAGGAAGGTATTGGTGTCTAACAGAGAAGGAGAACCCAGACTCACTTGAACGTCAAGGTGTGTGCAGATTCAATGAGCATAGCTATTACCATGTTGACTTACAGGATATGCACTAGGTTTTTTTTAAAAAAAAACCAAAACCAAACCAAACCCACAACACAACAAACCCAGATTGTTTCTGAGGGTTATTTGTCCCCGTTATCCTGTTGTTATTTTTATGTATATTTTGAAAACCATTTTGCCAAGCATTAGAATGAACAAATAGAAGAGGTTTTGTAAAATTTGATTTAAGATTTTGAATTTCAGTGCTTAAAATACTGCCCTTACAGCATGCCTTCTTGTTTTTATATGATCAAATTACTTGTTAATGTACTTAAGGCATGATCATTAAATATAGGACCATTATGAGGTTGTAGGTGTATTTTACACCTTCATATGTTAGAGCATTTCAATAGCCCTTAAACTATGAAGTCAAGGCTTTTATAAGGAGTGTGTGAAATTTGACAGGCCAGCATTTTCCTGTCTTCACCAGTTTTACCTGACACTGAGGGCATCAACTTTTTTCAGCATCTTGGTAGTATTTTATTCATGTTCATGCTCTCAGGTGACTGAACAACCTAAAATTGTTCTAAGATATCTGTACCTCTTTGTTTTGAGTGGTTGGATAGTCACTAAAAAGTTTGATCATGAAAGTTAATCTGATGGCATTATATTATTTTTTTGCTCAAGTCCTTGTGTGGATGTCTGCTAGTAACCTGGGAGCATGGCTTATGGTTTGATCTTCCTTTGATTATGCTGTTAGTGTTGCCAGCAGTCACAGGAGAGCTGTGCAGTGTGGCAGTAACTTTCCGAGTTCAGTTTTAGCTGTGTTGGTTACTTACTGAAGACTTATCTCAGTAAATTGTGAACCTTTCACTAGAATGGTTTGATGCAGTATCTTGAAAAGTTGTTTGCTTAAATATCCTTGATTATTCAAGGATTTTTAAAGGTGGGTTTTTTTAGCTAGTCTTAGGGAATAAATACTGGAAAAATATGTGGTGGTTACCATAGAATAAGCTTGTTTTCAGATATCATGCAGGAATGTGTTCCCTGTCTATAACATCTGTAGCATTTTATATTATTGCCTGAGTCTTGAAGTCCAGCCTTTTTCCTTTAAAAGAATATCTAGTTTCCTGATAACACTTTAAATAAAATTAGTTGTTCTTTAAAATTGAATTTCTGTCCATCAGCAGTTGTGAATCTTTAGCCAGCCAAGCCTTTTCTCATTACAGTCCTGCATCACTTCACGGAAGTGATAGCTGTGGTGCATGGCTCAGTGACAGGGAGAGTTCTTTAAGAAAGGGTGGTACAGATACTCACACAAAGACAGTATTTCAGCTGCACAGCTTGACTGCCAAGCACCACTTGAAAGAGCTATTCTGTTTAAGAGAGAAAATGTGGGAGGTTTGAAATAGTCAAATGGGATTTGGCTGTACAATTAGAAACTGCAAGTTCAAAGATGAACAGCCAGTTCCGGTGTGCTGAAATGAGACTCGTGAAGGGAGATGAAGAAACTAGGTGTTCTTAAAGTGAGCTGAATTGATGGAAAGTTGTGGGATGGGTAAAACCTTTGTACAATATGGGGAGGAAGAAAAAAGTGATTCTGTGGGTTAGAGCTGGATGAGATATACGATGGCACTGTTTAATCTCTCCTTTAGAAATACCTATTTTCAGATTAGTGTATGAGCAGGGTGACACTTGGCCATGTGCTAAAGCACTACTGGTTTTTTTAGGAGGGGAATGCTAGTGCTTGTTACAGTGTGGGATCTGAAAAAAATAAAAACCAGCATAGGTCACCTTTGTTTTCTACAGATAAGGGCATTTTTGCCCTCTCAACGTTCTGTAATTTCCAGGTTTCTTATAAATAAATGTATCTCCTTTGTGATTTTTAAACAAATGGGTCATTTTGGTGGATTAGTGAATTAACTCAGTAGTTGAAAAACTAGGTACGGAAGACCAGTAAGATCTCAGTTGAAAATGCAAACTCTTTTTTTTAATGCTTTTTTTTCAGACAAATAAGAAAGGGAAATCCCGGTGTATTTATACAATTTAGGCCTTGTAGATAATTTTTTTTTTTCCCTCTTTGAAGTCTTACTGTGTACTCATTTTCCTCAAAATCTGTTGTCCTTGTTGAGCTGTTAGCCAAAAGACAAAATTAATTGAAGATAAACTGTGCATTTGAGAGTGGCTTGAGTCATGTTGACATCCACTGTATTCTATGGAAGTAATCGGCAATCTTGCAGTATCAGGTGTTGGAAGGCAAAAGACAAAATGGGAGAGTATTTATGTTACTGTGGTAACCATGAACTGGATTGTTTTAATTTCACAAGGGAGTTTTGTAAGTTGTCCCTATTAAGTTGAAACAGACTAAGCAGATAAAGAACAGTAGAATTTATTTGAATTTCATCACTATATTTTAGTGTTGTTGAAAAAGGAAAAAGTGCTTTTCTGGAATACATTTGATATTTTAAATCTTCCCATGTTCCCACTTTGTGGAGGTTTATGTAGATTTCAATCTATGTTGAAAATAAGATGAAATGGAGGGAGAATGAAAATAACCGAACCTTTCTGAAATTCCTGAGCTAAATCAGTGATCAAGTTGTCTCAAAATCACTGTGGCAAAGAGTAGCATTTAACAGCAGCTCTGAAGTGAGTTCCGTAAAGATATGATCCAAATTTGTCATCAAAGCTTTTCAGATACGTGCATACTCTCTTGCTGTCATTTCAATGCGTGTGGTTAATTGGTCATGTTAGGAGAGGAGCTGCATGGTTCTGAAACAACTGCATGGTTTTGGAGTCCTTCTTACTTACAAAGAACAAATCTGTCCATCAGAATTCCCGCTAGACATCCTACTGTATGGGTTCGTAGAGGCCTTTTCCGTAAAGCTTCCTGCTCCTCTCAGTACTGTGGTTAGTGTAACAGAGATGCAAATACCTCTTGATACTAAAACTTGCTCTGAGCAAGAGTGGAGAGTGTTTGCAATGCTGATGGGTATATTTTCAGTCCTGTTAATGCTATCAGTCTAATAATTGCTGTCAGCCATTAAGCTGCATTAATGGTAGAAAAAGAAGATTATTTGGGAGCAAGTAGTAAAGCAAATATTGGATGTTCGAGGAGAAGAAAGAAATGGGTATGGTAATAATTGCAAAGGGGGAAACTACCAACTCGGATCAAAAGCTTCTTCAGGTTGCACTGTTGGTTGTCATCCAACTTGAAGCAAGTTACTGGATTGTTTGATGCGTGGAGGGTTTGAAATAGAAAATAGCTGTTGATTTAGGTCAGGGAAATGTGTGCTAACTAAACAAAAGTAGAATACTTTCTAGTTGTGTTGTTTATTTGTTTTCACTTCTAGAGTGGTGAGTCCAGGATGATCTTTCATTTTCATTATACTACATGGCCAGACTTCGGAGTTCCTGAATCCCCAGCTTCATTCCTGAACTTCCTGTTCAAAGTCAGAGAGTCTGGGTCACTGAGTGCTGAACACGGACCTGCAGTTGTTCACTGCAGCGCAGGGATAGGGCGTTCCGGCACGTTTTCATTAGTAGACACTTGTCTTGTTCTGGTAAGCATTGGGTCATTTTCTCTGACACCCCGCCTCCCCTCCCATGATGGGCCTTTTTGGTCAGAAGGCTTTAAAAGCGTTTTAGTTAATGACATGCCAGTTCTGATTTATTTGGTTAGTACATGGTCATTGATTTGTTAATAATAATTTCATTAGATGGTTAACTTTTTTCCTGTAAAAACAATTTAGAAATAATTTGAGATGTTAAATTTGTGTATAACTAGTGGAAACATAATATGAAGAAATTAATTTTTAGATTGAATTTTATGACTAATTTTTGCTTGTAATTATTTTTTATACGTTGTCTCTATCAGTAGCAATGATGCTTTCTACATAACTTTCTTTACAGATGGAGAAAAAAGACCCATTTTCTGTAGATATTAAGAAGGTATTACTGGATATGAGAAAATATCGAATGGGACTTATTCAGACTCCTGATCAACTAAGATTTTCATATATGGCTGTAATAGAAGGGGCAAAATTTATAATGGGGGATTCAACTATACAGGTAAATGTTTAGCTCCATGTATTTAAACATGAACAGTAGGCTGCTAACAGTAGTTAAGAATGAGCTCCAAACTGTTTTAAAACATGTATCTTTGGGGGATTTAAATAATTTGCCTTTTTCAACAGATGCCTAGAAGGTATTGGAGGGTATCTGATCAGCGCCTTCTATCAGCTAAACTTTTAATCCCATGTATTTGTGCCCTCTTAGATAAAATATAAAAACCCCTTGTCTGTACAAATGTGTTTTTTTTTTTTTAAAAAAAAAAAAGTTTAAATCAATATCTTCAATACCAAAAAGCAAAAGTAATGCCCAGTATCGCTTTGAAAAAATAGCAAGGGTCTTTTTAGTATTTTTTGATCTTCGTTAGATATATTCCTAACAATAAAATTGCTGCTACAGATCACGTTTATTAGTAAAGTTGCTTCCCCCCTGCCATCCTTTAAAGTCTGTGTTACAGTCAGTAGAATCTAGCCAAATAGAAGGAGTGTTGGGGCAAACAGATTACCAAATCTCACTGTGGCGTTACCAGCGTGGCTTGCGGATATAAGAGTAGCTACGGCTCTTTTAAATGGCTGGGGCTGGGAGGCAGGGAGGACTGGGAGGAGCGGCTGGGAAACAAGCTAGGGCTTTTTTGGTCTGTTGATTTCTTAAAGTCATGAATGAAACAGATCAGCTAGAAGACATTTCCTCTTTTGTGTGGTTCTGGTAGTTGTCAGATTCTTCTCTTTGACAAGTGTTTCTTGACTTGCTATGTAGATAAATAACTTCGCACAACTACAAATCAACACCTAGGTGGTGTGCTGCTAGCCCGCCAGCTGTGCCCTATGACCAGAAGACTGCATGATTCATCCAAACACTGATGGCAATTTAGCTTCTCTATTTGCTGGAAGCTGTTCCTGGTGGTAGGAGGGTATTCTCTCTAATCATTTTTCTGCTTTGTTTTTTGAACAGCCGTGCTCCAAACTGTGAGCAGCTCTGGTTCCCACACTTAGCTATCTAGATCATGGGATTTCTTGTTTCTGGATACAAGGGGGCATTGTCAACTCAGAATACTGCTTGTCAGGTTCAAGTGTGTTATTTCTTCATACAAAGAAAATGCCTAAGAAGCCACACTTCTCATTTGTTCTTTTTTTTTTTTTTTTTTTTTTCTTGTTACAATGGTTCAGATGATCTTTCTGCAGTCCAGGCAGTTGTCCTGGTGCTTTCCTCTTTAGGCCCTAGGGTCATGTGCAGAAAATCGATTGGCAGTACTTAATAGGAGTATTTCTGCTTTCAAAGTCAGATAGATAATTTTTCCTCCCTGTAGGGAATAGTTACAGTGTCCAGAGCTTAAGAGGTGTTTACTTCTCTCTGCTAGTGATGGGGAGGGCATGAAGTCCTTGAACGCCTCTTTAATATAAATAACATTACTCAAATACTCATCTCTGACATCTCCATGGATTTTGGAAGTCAGTAAACTGTGTGGACGAACACAATGTGTATTTGAACCTTTACTTGCTCACAGCTAGTGGCTGCAACTGCAGCACTCGTGTTGTGTCCTAGGAGGAGGAGGAGGAGTATCTTCCCCTCATTGAGCACCGATGGGATTTCCACCCATGAAAGGACAGATCATACACTTGTCTAGGTTGCCCTGAAGCCCTGCAGAGGCATGTGGTCCATGTGCCACCGAGCAGTGCTGCAGCTGAAACAATTACCGGCTTCCTAGTTGCACTACAGAACTGCACTATATAAAGTGGGTGAGGTGGAACAAGATGGAAGGTTTCATTTCTATAAAACTCCTTTGTAGTAAAGATCAGTTAATATTGCTTCAGCAACAAATCTCTGGAAAACAAATTTGCTTCTTTGAAAGGACAAAGATGGCTGAATTCCTTAGATCCATAGATGTATTTTGCAGACAGAACAAGAACATTATCATTTTGTACTGAAACCTGTGAATCTGAAAACTGTATCTGACACTCACCTGATTCTGTCAGCTGAACATCTTAATGTGCCTTTCTGTTGTCTCCATCTGTTCCAGGAGGCAATACAGGCCCTAAGTCTTAGCTCCCCTACGCAGGCATTTTGGTTATAATTTTGAGGACGGCTGTGGTTCTTAAATCAAACTTCATCACCCCTTTGTTTCTTCCAGACATCATTTCACAAGACACAGTGTAGTACTTTAATTCCTGAGGTACATTTTTGTTGTTGTTTTGTGTAAAGTTGTGGGTACTATCATAAAATGGCAAAAGTAATTTAACAACACAATCTTCTTTGTCTGCTCCAAGTTGCACGTTATCTTACCAGTCCTGCCATTCATGTAGTCTTGTCATAGATAAGTTGACTTACAACTACCAGCCATTTGAGCTAGTGTTATTAGTGTTATTATTGAAATGGAATTCTTGGTAGGAAATTCCTTCTGTTTGACATGATCAGTACAATTGTCTCTAATTTCAGTTCTTCCTGTGCAGCTTATCATCCGACATGGAGTCAGTATTTATTTTAGCCAGCAAGTCTCTATGGACATAACCAGGTCTTCCAAAAGGCCTTTTTCTGTGACAGTAAGAGGGAGCTGCTGAGTGGATTGCCATCTGTTCCTGGCTGTTTCTTTTTCCATTTTTTCTATGTTTGTTTAAGACAAAACAAATAAAACCTCTGAGTGAAGTGTCTTGTGAATGAAGACTCCCTTTGTGAATTTTAGGGCTATACTGGAAACTCCTCTGTGATGGAGGAGTCGGTTCATTGTTAAAGCTCATTCTGCCAGCAGTTCATTTACAAGTAGCTGGGTTTTGTGACATCGCTCTTGAGTTTGAGATTTAGTTTAGACCAGCAGTCTTGAATTCATTCCACAGGCAAGAACCTAACGTTCATTTTGTGAAGAGTCAATTTTCAGTTCATCTTTCTTATCATAGGCATTTAAAGAGAACTGTTTGGTTTTTTTTTCCCCTCCAAGCTATTCTACATCTTTATAGGTTGGCTGATTGGTTTTTAGGGGCAATTCTTTTCCTTCCTGTTACCTCTCTCTCTTTTTTTCTGCATGAAATTTTGTTGCAAGAAATCTTCAGATGACTTGTCATTAGGACAGTTACCCATTAGGACAGAGTTCTAGCAAACCAGTTTTACTTCCAACTTTTTTTTTTTTCTTCATCTCATTTCAGATTACTTCTCAAAACAAGGTATCTGTTTTATGATGCAGTAGATCTCTGGGCTAATGGATCACTAGGTGAAATAGTAGGCCACGACTTTGGCATAAATAACCCTAGATGTTTTTTCATTGGCATTGCAGATTTTTGCAGTTCTTGCACACAGGTTCCTACTGTGTTATGGAGCTGTGAAAGGTAACAGCACAGCGTAGCCACGGAGAGAGTAGAGGGAGATGGAAAGTGCTGGACAGTTGCAGGACTGTACATGACAAGTTGCTTCGTCGTTGTGGAGCTACTGTGGACATTACAAACCCCACAGTTAGTGGCCTCATGCCTTCATGGTAGAGATACAAGAAGGGATCATCGTTGGAGAAGATGCATCTTCACCTAACCTGATTTCTTCATCTAGCAGTCTAGGAGTTCCTTAACGTGCTTCTGTGACTGTTCTGTTGGAAGACATCTTGGGCAAAGAGGGCCTTCAGTGTTAGGACAATGTTTGAAATATGTTCTTGTTTGCAGAAACGGTGGAAGGAGCTCTCTAAGGAGGACCAAGCGCCAAGTTCTGAACAGTCTCCTCCACACCTGACCAAAATAACCACAGAGAAGTACAATGGGAACAGCATAGGCCTGGAGAACAAAGATCAAATGGAGAAAATAAATACTGACCTGTCCACTAAAGTTCAGGATATCATGGATGGAAACATTGAAAGGTAGGCGAGATGAAGAAACTGTTAGAAGGCAGATACACTCTCTTAACAGGCTGAATTCTTCTACGCTTGTCTTATCGTAAGAAAACTTCTAGATCTTTCTTCAGTAAAGGACAGGTGGCATTTGAATGTCTTATTTCATTATTTTAAAAGTACAAGTTCAGTTATTCCTTGTGATAAAGTTTTATTGTTTAAAGGTCAAGAGAAGAAAAACAGATGTCTCTAATTGAAGCAGCTAAGCCTCACGCTTGAAAGCATTTTCCTACAGATTGTCTGTGAACTCTGTTGTGCAGCGTGAACTAGGACCTAAAAGTGCCCAACATAATTCGATTTTTGGGTACAATGCTAACTTCTTTTTGGAAAAATGTACAATACCTCAGAAACACAAAGCTTTTTAACACCTGCCACTTTCTGTATGGTGACTGAAATTGTGTTGTTGAAGCCATATGTCACCCTCCACTCATGTGAAATCTACTACGGTGAATAGATGATTTCTGTGGTTTAGCTGTGTCATGTGAATTTGTCTTTCTCTGCCTTGTGAGTACTAGTGCCTTGGCTGTGAGCTGCCCTGCTGGGAACTGCTGTCTGAATTGCCGTGCCTTGAGGCACTGTGTCCCCTGGGCCTGCCCCAGTGACGGTACCCAAGTATGGAGCCAGAGCCAGAACCCGGGTTGGGTTGTGCCAGGCCGTGCAGTGCACAGGAGGAGGCAGCGTCAGGCCCAAAGGCCTGCAGCCTGGGAGGCGGCGCAGCAGGCAGGTCTGAGGAGCAGACTGCTTGCTGAGGGCCCCCACGAGTTTGTCGTGCCGTGTCTGTAGGAGTGTTTCCAGGGAGAATGACAGTGATTCTGTAGATGTCTGAAGGAGCCTCATACCAGCCGGGGGGACACATGGGTGTGAGTGTGGTGTTTGTGTGCTGGGACTTGGAAAAAGCATTCTGTTGTGTCGGAGCTATGCTTTCTTAGGGATTGTGAGGAGGCTGCTGGAGATGAGAACTACAGGTGGCCCTGACAGTGTCATCACACACAACTGATTTTTAGCCCGTGTCCTTGATCAAGGTCTGGGTTACAGCCTGAGGTGGGCAGTGTGAGATCTGCGTGCAGACCAGCGTAGTGAGGATCTACATGTCGGTGAGGCTGGTGTGAGCACTGCGGTGGAGGCACATGCTTCAATACTGTGAATGCTTGCACTTAGTACCTGCCATGGCACGTCAAAGCAGCCTCTGTGCAAAAAACCTCAGTCACCAAATGGGGCACTGGCGGGGGTGAGATAAACTCAGATAAAGAAGCTAATCCCGTTCCCTGCTGACCACGTAGGCACCACGTACACCCTTACTTACGTCATTTACTTCATGGGGCTTCACTGACCTGGAACCGTCCCCATCGGGGTCGTTATAACAGGATAAAGATCGCTTGGGTTAGATTTTATGTACTGCTGCCATGTGCTCCTGGGGGTTAACTATTGGGAGTGTGTTGGGAAGCAGTTTGGTTTAGTGTTTTAATAACCTTCTTTCCTGTTCTACAATTGAAGATTTACCTTTGTTGTTTTGTTTTTTTTTCTTTAAGTACTGTCCGGAAACGACTGCGAGAGGATAGAAAAGCTAACACAGCGCAGAAGCTGCAGCAGATGAAGCAGAAGCTAAATGAGACTGAAAGAAAAAGAAAAAGGTGGTTATATTGGAAACCTATTCTCACTAAGATTGGGTTTGGTGCACTGATTTTAGTTGGCGCTTATTCTTGCTGGAAAATGTATTTTCAAGAACATTCCTTGTAAGTAAACAGTAAGCCTGTCTGCTCCAGCAGCTAATTTTGCTGTTAGTTAATGACTAGGGGTGTGACTTGAAGCAGTAAACTCCTTACTGGAACGGGTACAGACCGTTACATACCATAGAGAAGTGATGTAAACTTGATCCCATGTCAACATCTCAGGACTTTCTACTGCAGGTACTTACAAAAATGAACTGCTGCCCCCCAACAGAGTTGATGGTTTTTTGTTTATATGAGCAGGTACAAACTTGCTGCAACTGTTTATACACTTTTTAAAATGGTCTTCTACCAGATCTTAGGCAAACCCTGAACCACAGAGGTTTAGCTACTGAAGGCTGTCTGGATTTAAATTTACATGCCTGACATAAGCAATAAACAGTGTTGTATCATTTACGTTATTAATGCAAAGAAGTTATACTTAAATGTGTGTAATGTGTAATGTACTAGTGACATGAACGTAAACATTTTATATTCTTATGACCTAGGATAAATATATTTTATAATTGCCTATTTAATCTTTTTGTAGTTCACTGTACTTTTAAAAGCTCCGTTTGTACAAATTTCTGACCAAAAAAAATTGGATTTTGAAACTAAATGTAATTATGATTTGTGCATGAAAGTAATAGTGCAACCATTCCCCGTATCTTGACTCTCCAGTTTATGATACGAGCAGCTAGGGGTCTGATGAAGCACTTGCCAATTTCTACTCTGTTAATTTGCATTCCTTATTTATTTTTTGTAGTTTTCATTATTTAAGTAAGGATTGGAAATTTGATATTTTTTTTAAGGCTTTTGAGAACTTAGCCCCCACTGAAAAGCATACTGTTGATTAATGTATTCAGACTTCAGCTCTGTTTGAAGGCCAACATTGTTAAAGTTCTGACATTCCATTAAATGTGAAACCTACTGTTTTGTGTGTCTATAGATTTTAATTGCTAGAAAGACTAAAATTAAGTCATCAGTAATAGGTGTAGAAAGCACATCAAAGGAGACTGTAGTTGGACTCCCAGGGGTGGTGGTGGCAGAAACCAAGGTGGGTAGCGCCCTGCCATACCCCGCGCGTGCGGCTGTGTGAGCCGCTCCTGCCACGTGACAAAGTCTAGCGCTGCCTCGCAGGTTCCCGGGCACTGTGTTAATGAGGCGAGACTTAACGGCTGTAGTTTGGGAATACCAGTGCTGCAGGCACGTTAACAGGGCTGAGCACTCCCTTGCCATTAGTTGGCTGGTGACGCTTCCTAAGTAGTTCAACACAAATCGCTTTCTGTTCCTTTAAATTCTCCTTGAATACAGAGGTCACGTGGGCTGTGTGTGGCTTGCTGTCATTCAAGGTGAGACCTAATAACTTGTAGTATTGGACTGCACTTGGAAACATGGATTGTGTTTATTCAAGCGTTGCCTTGTTGGGTGACTTCAGAGAAGTTGTGTTTTCTCCCTTCGTTTTCCTGCTTGGTGGTTTTCTGCTGGGTATGGGGTTTTATGGGGGGGTTTCCTTTTTTCCTTTTTTTTTGTTTTGTCTTGGGTTTTTTCCTCCTTTTGTCAAGCACTTCTTGAATTTACTGCTGAAAAATACTAAAAGAGCTAGATAGTTCCTTTGCTCCTTATCCAAAGGAATCAACTTGAAAGGTTTCCAGTACATTCAAGCTTAGTAGTAACATACCAGGCGTGGGGCCCAAATAGTCTGACATGTATTATGCCAAGCTCAGTTGAGTTTACTCTCTGAAATTCTCATTTCACAATAGCAATGCTATTTTGGACTGCACTGTTTATATAGTAAAAAAATGCTTAAGGGTCCAGATAAGGAAAACAAGTGTAGTTTCATACAGTTCTGAATTTGGGAAACTGCGTCTGTAAAACAAGACAGTTTGTCCTGTGCCATTCCTGACCAGCTGCAGAGCTGGAAGAGCAAAATGCCCTGCTGATGGCTGTGACACCGTATAGGCAGGCAGCTTACGTATTTTCAGACATTTCAGACATTTCGTAACTTTTACAACCACAGTAACTCTTTTGGCCAACAAGAGGCTTGGCAAAAGACGTTTGGGTTTTTTTTCCTTGAAATTGGCAAGATGGGTTTTTCAGTATCAGCTGTAACTGATGGCAGGTGTAACATGTGCCTTATAAAAGATATTTCGGTTATGGAAAAACACATGGAATGTAATTAAATGCTTTTATAACAGAAATATTCCAGATTTTTTTCTAAATTATTAAAAGCAGCTAAGGACACGGTGCAGGCAAACCTTCACTGAAATCACACTGTCATTTATCACCTTTCTGTTTGCATGAGCAGGATTTCCTGGGCCACCAGTACCCTGCGGACACTGAGCTCTAACTGTGGCTTGTCAAGTTGTCTCTTTGTTTTTTTCCTGATTCCATCTTCTAAATTCTGGCTTTTTTGTTCTCTTGATCCAAGCAGGCATTCCTCTTTTCTGGGTAGGGCAGGGCGGGAGGGGGCCATCTTGCATCATCTTTCCCTTCTTGATGCAATAAAGCAGGACTTGCACATTCAACAGTTGATCTGTAAAAATGTGGTTTGGTTCCACGGTCATATCTATCTTGAGAGTCTAACTGTTAATAATTTAAGGCCCACGAACTGATACATGTCTTGGACAAAACTGTTTTGTGCAGTGAATTGTCCATGGCAGCAGGGGGTGGGAAGGGAGATTAAACACTAGATCCCTTAGTACATTCCAGGAGATAATTTTGGTAAAATTCTTCTTGTTGGTCTGTCAGTCATTCTTAAAAACCAAACTCTGGGGGAGGCTTGTTCTCTTTACTGCAAACTGAGCCCTTGTGATGCTTTGTTATTCTGTAGGATTTAAACTTGCAGCAGTTTTGCACAACTTGGATGTTAAATAAGAACAAATATGGGCCAAAATGAAGAACTGTCAATCCCAGTGACCTCTATCGTAGGAGATGCTTAAAGAAAGAGTAAAACTGAAGGACGTGCCTTCTGACCCCTCTCCTGCCTCCCCTGCCCCAGTTTTGGGCAAGCTGCTGGCTGGTCCTGTGCTGCTTCGCAAATGCTGTTGCGCTCGATTCAAAGCGTTTCTGTGTCGGGCTTTCCCCTCTGTTCTGGAAATACACCAGTCAGAATATTCGATGCATAGTGGGCTTCCTTGAATTTGATTCCACAATGTTTGACCCTCAGATGAACGCTTCTGTACAAATTGTGCACGTTTTTATTAAAAAGACAACAACCCACTAACAAACGTTTGGACCTCTGTTGCAAGGGGTTTGCGAATCTGGAATCAGTCCTGTAGGTTTTCTGTTGATGTTCTTGGTGCAGGGACAGTCCACTTAGCTGATGGTACATCTGTATTTTTCTTGAAATGTGTTAAGTAAAATGAATTCAGTGTGGAATAGCAATTTGAAAAAAAACTTTACAGATTTATTTTATGGAAGTAAGGTGTTGCGAGTGAAACTTAGCTTATTTTGTTAAACCTTGAGTAAAAATGTTTACTGGCATCGGTTTATATCCCACTGAAAAGGGCAGAGGTGTAAATGTGTATGCACGTACGTGTGATTGGATTGTGCAGGCGATGCAAAGGCCTGGCTAGCTTTAATGAATGTTAAACAAATTATTTAGTTTGCTGTTTGGCGTCATAGTTAAACCAGAGACACTTGAGGACTGTACAAGAAACTAAATTAACGGTGACAAAAGGGGAAGTCTTCTGCATGGCCAAGTGGCTCAAGTCAGAGGACCAAACTTGCAGTTAACGTAACACTCAGCGGTCTCCCTGGGCTTTTTTGTTTTCCCCCAAAGTTTTTAGGTCAGTCTTTCATTTTTATGTACGAAAAATAAATGCGTTCAAAATTGCATCTCTGTCTGAGTCTTTATTTAAATTGGAAAGATAAATACTTGGAAGAATTTTTTTAGGCTGTCTTAACCAATCAGAGAGCTGCTTTGTAAGTCAGTGCAGCGCTCACAGAACTGAGTGTTTGCCTCGTATTGCTGTGTAAGTCCCGAGGTCTTTTTATGCGTCTCTCGGCGCAGAGCCGTGCCGGGGAAGCCCAAGGACAAGATGCCTGCTGGTGGCTGCCTTCCTCGCTGCAGGGCCCCTGTGCCCAGCAGTGCTGACTGCCGCGCCACTGGGCCTGGGCCGCGCCTGGCCGCAAAGCCGCAGGGCTGAGGCCGGTTGGAGGTGCAGCCCTCTGGGGTCCCTCTGGGGTCCCTCTGGGGACCCGCAGCGCTGGTGGTTAAATGCCCGGGTCAGCACTTGGCTGGGCCGAGGCCTGGGCGCTCTGGCAGCTCCGTGCCTTGTGCTGTGACACGGAGACACCTTTGGAAAAGCAACGGCGTCCCAAGAGCGCTCACAGCAGGCGAGCGGCAGCCGGTAGTCGCCTCAGGGAGGGCATGAGAAGCTGTTTGGTGTTTGTAGGGAGGTGCAAACACGCTGTCTGTTCTTGTTTCTTTTCTTTTTTCCATACTGTGTACTGAATCGGTGACTTTCTTTTGCGTTGTGTGTCGCAGGCCGAGACTGACCGACACCTAAGCCTTCGGGACTTGTGACTGTTCTGCAGCTATAAACTGCAAATTATTGACATGCAAAGCGAGACATGAACCCCTCTTCGGGAACAAAGAGTGAGGTCTCTTAAGTACCAAGAAGACCTCAGTTATCTGTTCACAGCGTAAACCGCGGCGAGGGGATGAAGACCACCAGCAGTGTGCTACTTTGGAAAACAAAAGAATTTGCCATCTTGTGTTTTTATAATGCTTGTATTAATGTAGAAAGATGTAAAAGAAATAAATTAGGAAATATTTTGTTTTGTACTGCCATTCTTACTGTATTTTTATACTTTTTGGCAGCATTAAATATTTTTTTTAATGGACAATATGCTGTTGTGTGCGCATTATGTTAGGGAGAAACTCTTCAGAGCCTGTTTTGTGGGAAAAGAAATGTTTCACCTTAAGGTTTCCTGATATCCTCTCTTAACTGGAAAATGGCCGAATTATTTGAGTGTGTGTTATGCAAGTATTTTCATTAATGCTAAGTATTGTAGTTTGAACTAGGAGGAACTCTTGCACATTCCTTTTTTAATACACCACTAAGAATATTATTTTGTTATTCTGATGGGTTGGTCTGGTAATCCTGCTGATGTTTGCTATAAAATACGCACAAAACGTTCAGAGTCACTTTGGGAAGGGGAAGTGTTTTGTTGGTGGTATTTTAAAGGGAGGAAAGGTCGGAAATCTGCCCTCTGACATCACTGATGGGAGCTGAGGGCCAGGCGCTAAAGCGCACAGTTAATGGTGTCTCTAATTAAATGGGGTTTGGATTGTGTCGTCGCAGCGTGTGGTACGTATGACGCTTTACTTCACGTCTCCCATCTCCTGTTGGCGTTCTCCCCAACAGGATCTAGATTGGAAAAAGGTAAACTGGAGTACTGCTGATCAAAGTTCTTCCACTGGACGCAGCAGGGTTTCCAGCCTGCACCTTCCGTAACAGACCTGATCTAAAGTCTGCACTCACTGACCTCTGACAGTTTCAGATAAACCTCAGTTCTCCAATAACCTCTATTTAATATGAACTGGTACGTGGTGGGGTTTTATACGTCATTTCTACTTTGCATATTTTTGTAACAAGTTTTTGTACGAATCATGCAGTTGCTGAGAGTAAGGCATGGAAAAGGGGGGCAATCTAAGCCAACTAAGGCCGGTTTTGTTAAAATAAGCAGCGACCTAAAATCTTAACTTGGTTTTGAGGCTCATTCATGAAGGCAACTGTATTCAGAGTTGTGTTTAACTTGAAGGTGAGGCTGAATCAGGGGAGCGCTTAATGCTGTTGGCTTGAGCTAAAGATGTGCCTGACACCATCTTGAAATAGTCTAAATCACCAGTCTGGTTTGTCTAAATATTTTCATTCCTTTAGATGATTAGTATTGTTCCTGGCCTATGCTGGAGGAGAAAGCAACATAGCAACCTGATTCAGCTTTCGTGTTCAAGTTGGTGCCGCTGTGAGATGCTGTGTTTATAACGGGAGATCGAGGTCTGACAAACCCATGGCAATAAACCTGCTGCTGGTGAGCATGGGCAGAGGGCCTGTTCGTACCACTTCAGGCGGCCCTGGGTGCGGCTTCCAGCCCTTCGTGCCTTCACCTTCAGCTGCGCTCGATGCTTTCATCATCTTTGTCCTCTCTGAACTGCGAGTAGGCGTGAGGCGCGTGACTGCTGGAAAGGGGCACGTGCTTCGGTACTTTACTGGCCGCTGTGGCAGGTAACTGCCCAGTACCTGCTCTGTTACCGTGTGGGTGTGGAGGGCTGCAGGTACTTTGGCCCTTGGTGCGCAGTGAGCTCTTCTAATCAAAATGCTGATTGCTCTTGGCTTCTAAATGTTTTCCACCTGCTGAGCTGCTGGACTAAATTTGACGTCAGGCTAATGCATTGAGTAGGCAAAGGGGATAAAGATAGAGCAGTTGCAAAACCAGCTTTGTCAGGTCTTGTTGAAGGCTCCTGGTGCCAGCAGAAGTTTGGGCTCACTGGCCCAGGAACTTCTGGGATGTGCATTTGTTATTTCTGCACCATAGTTCTTGACTACTACTGGGGAAAGGTATTTCAAAAGATGAAGGAAGGGGAGAGGCTGCCTTCTGAGAGGACAAGCAATTGAGCATAGAATTTGCCCAGAGAGGTTGTGGAGTCTCCTTCTCTGGAGACATTCAAAACCTGTCTGGACACGCTCCTGTGTGACCTGCTCTAGGTGGTCCTGCTCTGGCAGGGGGGTTGGACTAGATGGTCTCCAGAGCTCCCTTCCAACCCCTGCAATGATTCTGTGAATTGCAGCCTGAAAAGAAATGGGGTTAGAAGGATAGACTTGCAGATTTTCAAGTGACAAAGCTGTGATTTACTGGCTGCCATTTTTTTCTTTTTTCCATCTTCAAGAGAAACGTTGCAGAGGTATTTGGGTTTATTTTTGCTAATCATCGTAATGGGAGGACAGAACCACTGCTGTGGTCTGCGGGCGGTGTGGGTGGGCAGCAAGGTGGGCGCAGCAGTGGGGCGGGCAGGCAGGGGAAGTGGTGGGCTGGGGGCAGCAGGAGGAGCTCGGGGCGCCTGACACTGCTCTTGGGCCGGGGGAGGTCAAGGGCAGCTGCTGCCTGCGTACCAGGCAGCCACCCGGGGAGGTGCTGGTCCGGCCCAGGAGGAGCCGCCTCCGTCCTGGTAAGAACCAAGAAGAGTGAGCACCAGTACCTTTCCCACAGGGAACAGAAAAGCCTTGAGGGTTTTCTGTTTTAGGAAGTGCTGAGTGCTGCTTCCCTTTTTCCTTCTTGAGGTTTTACTCTGCTGTGCTTCTTGAGGCACTTGGCGTCTATGGCTCATTTAACAGAAATACTACGAGGCAAATGACACCATCGCTTCTGTCTGGTCCTTCATTCCCTCAATACTTCATCTGTCCTCTTGCTATATATATATACACCTTGTAGTAGCTTTTTAAAAGCTGCAAGGAATCCTAGTGCTCAACACCACTAAGCCCTGTCTTTTTTCTCCTCTGCTTCTCCAAGGTATGTCCTGCTGGTCACAAGTACAAAAGCACAAAGAGATTATCATCCTCAGCAAGCCTGAAGTCTGTCATTCTAGTTGACATCTGCTTGAACATAGCCTGAAAGTTCATAGTCAACAGCCACAGGTTGGTGTGCGGGACTGGAATGTCGTACCCATTAGGCAGTCAACTAGGGATGGTGGTGGAGAGGGGAAGAAGAGGGAGGACAAAAGCAAAGCCTGAGAGAGAGCCTTCACCGGTCCAGCACGGAGCCCACCTTCCACCTCCCTCACACCAGTTAACTCTGGTACCAGGATGGAGTTCTGCAGTGCAGGACACCAGCTGCCTCAGCAAAAGGGTCGCAGTGACCCCGGGGTTGTGTCTGACGGACAATTACAGGCTGTTAGTTTCTACAAAGCAGCTTCTGGCCCGTGGCAGCCAGCCCGCGCCTCCCGGCAGAAGCGTTGGGGAGGACAAGAAAAGCAAGCGTGCTCGCTTCTCCCGTCTGCCTCATGGCAATCCATGCACTTGTCTCTGTTCTGAGCAGGGTTCGTTTTCCCAACTAGTTTTAGGCTTATCAGACTTGCTTCATGCTACACGCAGCCTTCTGCCTGCGCTCCCTGACCACACTTTGACTCATCAGCTCGTTAGCCTGGGGACCTGTGGAAACTCCTAAAAATCTATTTTGGTTAATTCTCACTTTCCAGCTCTAGAACTGCACCATCTCGCACCGATGACCTGCCACCACCTTCTGGTTGTTTCTCCACTGTTGTCCCCTCAGGTATGTTGACTGAACTCACTGCTGCTCAAACGCCTCATGGCTTCCTCAGCTTGGAACAGCTCAGGCTTCTCCCTCTGACCCACCCGCAGGTACCTCACATGGATTTCTTTTCCCGCCCTTTTCCGTTAGCAACACAAGCTGCATTGGCATTGTACTTGAAGAGGAACCCGAGAAGAATTGGGTTTTGAACTTTTGAGGGCTCATTACTGCTTCGCAGCATTCCCTTGTACTGACCACCCTGCTGTCACCCCCTGTGGGTGGGATTGGTCACGTTCACTGAGAGTTCGACTGAACCAACTTCTTTAGCAACAGGCACAAGTTTTCAAGCAAAACTGGCTCCTGAATCTTCCGCCCACACCTTTAACAGATCTCCAGGACTGTTCCTCTCCTCACCTGTACTACTACCATGACAATACCGCCAAAAAAAAAAAAAAAATCTATTTAGCAGACTAAATCTTTAAAAGCATAGCCTGCATGTCACATCTATTAGTTCATACGCTGTAACTGAGAAATTCTAGATTTAAAATTACTTTTAAATACGTTGATGTGACCAGGCACTTCCAAAAGATCAAAACTGAACATGTAGCTTAGTAATGCCCCAGGTACCGTTACCGACGTTAACCACCTGAACTACCCGTCACGTGACTGGTGTCACCGACTGAGCTCATACACTCCACAGAGACCAGACTGCCCGCAGTCAGGGTGATGTTCCAACTCCTCTCCTGAGCACTGTGCTCATCCTCAGATCAGTCTGAGAAGGCTCATCTACCCAGAAAGCTTTGGCACCTCTGCCACCCGTGGAAGCAGAACGGAACTTCCATGGGGAAGCTGACCAGAGAAGACAGAGGAGGCTGCTCCACTGCCGGCAGCCTCCCCAGTGAAGCTAGCGCAACAGCACGGGGAAGGGAAGGCAGAACTAGTAACTCCTGCACTTTGCTTACGTCACAGGAAGGTTTTGAAAAAAAGCCAAGATCCACAGCTGACATGGAAGAGGAAGGTTTTATCTTCATCACAAACCCTGTGGCTGCACATCAGTCTCAAGTTCTCAGCTACATTAAGAAGGTGCACCATAAGCTCTTCCATTGCAGTAACACTTAACCAAAGAAAAAGGGGGTTTAAAAAATAGTTTATTAGAAAAAAATTCAACCGAAGTTATTCAATAAACAGCTGTACAAAAGGTATTTCCTTGGTCAACTTGTGAAAGTTACCTTAATTTCTTTAGCTCCCCACGTACGTGAAAGCCATTTTTCTGAAGCGAAGAATTTACGCAGACAATGAAGGCAGCTGCTGTCGTGCCCCCTGCTGCAGGGGCGCCTGGGGCTCCACCCGTGACTTACAGGAGAAGGCAGAACCGATCAGAAGAGCGCAGGTGGAAGACCATTGCCAAAAAGTAAGCGCCAAGAACTTGGGATTTTCCACTGTGAAGAAGTATCTGTGGAATTGCTCTGCAACAAAACCAGAGCAATTCATTAAATTCATTTTAAATAGTAATGATGTAATCCTATCTCAGGCACATACATTAAAATAACGGGCAGCATTTCAAGTGTCAGCAGCAGTGTGGGTTGCTTGAGAGAAGAGTACTGGAAGATGGAACTTGATCAAACATTTGCCCAATTTTCCCCCACAACTGTCCAGCAAAAGCACTGGTGTTTAGGTTTGGTTTTTCAGGCGGGGAAATTTCCAGTGAGATTTTAATAAAAATATATCTTTAATTTGGCACACCCTTGATGACCAAGGGCCAGAACGAACCCAACCCATCCATTTTTAACTTTTCTAAAATTCAACTGGGTAACATTTTCAATGTTCCGTATGGAAAAAAATGAAAAGAACAGATATAAAATAGAAATGCAAGAACTCTAGATCAAATAGCACTTACTTCGCTTTTAATTAGCTGGAGCCATTCATTAAGATAGTTAACAAGAGCAAATGCATCAGGGATGTTGTCCCCTTCTGAGCAGAATTTCAGAAGAACTGCCATTTGGATTCCTTTTGAACAACTGTAACACAAATGAGCAAGTGTTTCTGGGTTTTTTTCAAATCCAGAACAACTATATTTAGGTATTAAGAGCAATAACAATCTGCATATGGCTTGTTAAAAACCCCCAAACCAAACAAAAAGTGTCTGCATATTTAGAGAGTTACCAGACCTCCTTGACTCCATTTGCTACGTCATGATCTTTTCCTTAGTCTTGAATTTGTTCCCTGCTTTGTGGGGCAGGAATCCCAGGTCACGGAAGAGTTACTCAGCGCCTCCTTTACATACCAAGTTTGGTTTTTCGTGCTGGTGGGGCATTTATACAGACCCTTTGGTACAATCGCTCCTTATCGTTCCATGTACTTCAAACCCCACTTTTGCAGGCTGCATAGCATTACTTTACTCACAATATGCCCATTTTTTCATTTAGGTATTAAGACCATTATTATATTTTTAATTTTTTTGTCCTAAAGTCCTGGGAGGTCTTTTGCATTTGTGTATTGTTCCCATACTCGGTCAGTACAAAGGCAAGTGTGATATCAGTATCTCTCCTGCTGTCAAATGCAACAGCTTGGACAGGTGTCAAAAAAAATAGCTAAAAAAATCCAGAAGTCCATTTTCTCCTGACACTTAACAAAACAAACACCTTTTGCAGAGCTAACACGGTTGTACCATAACGAGCGAGTATTACTATCCAAACTCTGCAACTCGGACATGCTTTCAGCACAACCTCTGGTGCACGCCCCTTTTAACAAAGCCACCACATGGAATTGTTTGCTGGCCCTGAAATCTTCACTCATTCTTAGTGCTCAGAATTTATTTGTTTATTTTTACAACTGATGATGAAACTATTTGTCACACAACCAGTTTAGCTAAAGAACCACAAGCACAGGAATTTGCAAATTCCAGTTTGCATCAAGTCAGATACCAGATTAGTCACGATCTTAACTGTAAAGGCTTTATTATTTTCCTTTAGCCCATTGACTTACATTTTTATCATATTAACTTTATGTTGCAGAATTCCCTTTTTTTTTTCCTCTTAATTATAAGCTTGATCTGGAAGAAGTTCCATTCCTATAAAACCCTTTTCTATGAAAAGAGGGACTTTCCCTGTAACAGCAGTTTAAAAGATAATTTTACCCACGTACTAAGAACAAGACTTCTGGTACCTTTCTGAGCTTATCCTTAGGCAACTCACCTCTCAGTAAACAACAGTTTTGTGATGCCACCTCCAGGAATATGTAGAACTTTTTCTGTATCATTTACTCCAGGGTAAGCTGCCACTTTTTCCATTTCTTTCCAGTTTCGCTCCTGCATAAGGCCTCCAACTGCTTTCTCAAGATCAGGTGTAAGTAAGTAACGTAGTGGTGTCCTAGAAACAAATCAAGGATGTGCTCAGTCTAGCAATAAAAGACACTACCGATGTTATCACTTGGGACAGAAAGAAGCTGCAAGCATTGAGGACCTCACACTTGCAATGAAGAATTGCCCTGACATTCCCTTCCTCCTCAAATCAAAGTTAAAAAGTAGCCTGTGGCCTCAAAACTGTGCAAACTACTCCACTTTCTGCCACGAACAGAAATACAGTACCCTCTTTTTAGAGGCTCAAGTAATTGGCAAGCACCAGATACATAACCACATAAATAAGAGAACTGCTTATGGTCAAAATTATTTACAAAAAATGTGCTTTTTCTTCCTTTGGACAGGAAGTGATTAATTTAAAGTTTGTCAGGGTAAACTTGGACTTCACTGTGATACACTTTTTAATAAGCTCACCCTACAAATACATGCAGGTGTCAGTCAAGTCTAAGCATGTTCTGAATGCACTCCCCTTGCTCCTTAGCGAACCCGCTGCAAGAGCTACTGTGGTGCTGAGGGCAGGGGCAGTGTTAAACCTTCACAACTTAGGCCTCAGACCACACCTCAGCTGGGCTGTTCTGCAGCCGCAGGCAAATGCCGTTGGTCACCATACCCGGGACGTGCACAGACCTAAACCTCCTTTAAGGCCCTACACATTTACATAGCCTGAGGATGGCAACTGGTCTTGTCCAAAAATACTGATTTTTGTTCCGTTTGTTTTTGTTAAATCACCAATTGCGATGTCCTCAATCAGCGAGTAATGCATGTTTTTTAAAGGGGTGTCCCGGTTTGGCTGGGACAGACTCCCAGCCCAGCCGTGCCAGGCAGCCGTTAGCAGTTTGGTCAGCCAGGGCAGCTGTCCTGAGGGAGCTACAGGTGCAGCCCATCCCATCATGTCATCGGCATTATAAAGGGGGGAGGTTGGCTGAGGAGAGAGGGTTCCTGCTGGAGTTTCTCTTTCCTTCTCATCCTGCTCCTGAGGACTGTGAGGATCAGACATTCTGGGCTGAGTACAACTTTGTATACTTTATTTCATTAAATCTGTCCTTGCTCCAACCTTGGGGTCTCCTCTCCTTTTCCTGATTCTCCTCCTCAACTGGAGAGGGGTCATCAGGTGACAGAATAACTACTGTAGTTTAGCCCCTGGTACGGACTAATCATAAACAAGGGGTAATAGCTAATAAAACATGTAGTCTGAACCTTGCAGTTGCTTCTCAACAAACAAGAATTGGGAACTTCCTACAAAAAAGAATGACAGATTACTGTATTAAAGAAAACCTTCAAAATGTAGAATAATGAAGAAGAGGTAAGAAACTAACCAATATTATAATTAACTGTTAAAAATCCAATCCGTGACCTGTATGTTAGCAGCTAGTCCCTGACACTGCTTGCAGCCACAAGAAATTAAGTTAAAACTGACACACTGTTGCCTGACAGTGAAGACCAAGGGTAATTTACTTATAGTTTATTATTTGCGCTTTTGACAGTAATAACTAAAAAAGTTCAGAGACTAATCCTGTATAACAAGATGTTTTAATAGGATAGTAATTTAGGAAAATATTTCAGTTTGTCAGAAAGAACAGAAACATTAATTAGGTCTTTTAATGACACAAACATACCCAAGAAGTTGCTCATCATCACGCTGGTATGCATGGCTGCTAGACAGAAGAATTACTCTGGCACATTTGCTGCTTTTCACCCAAGAAAGCAGTGTTTGACAGAATGGCCTGTACTTGTTCTTTATGCAAAGACAGAGGAAAAAAAAAAGTGAAAAATACATCATGATCTTAAAAAAAAAAAAAGCCAAAAGCCAACAATACTAAGTGTTACATACAAAGTTTAGCAGTGGTGTAAATTTTTCTTCATACCCACAAAGCTGAAGATGATTCAGATGTACTTTTAAAAAGCCGAGGACTGCTCTGGTTGTTTATTTAATCAAAACTACATGTATGATAATAGAAATTATCACTGAGACCATGTTAATGACAACAGGACCACCTGTTTTGAGTGCCATTAAAACCAACGGAAAAAGCTTTAGAGTAAGACAGGATGGTAGGATCACATGGTATTCTTCCACTCTTTGAACTGTTGAAAACTGCAGCAGTTTTCTGGCATGGTAGTCTGCTTATTTTAAACTACAGCCACTGTCCAGTTAATGAGTAATTCTAAATTCTTCATTTTTTACATAATGAACGCAGATTAAATTAATATAGAACACTATGAAATAATTAGAGACACCAAAAATGATGCCATTGCAATAAGAGCACACAAAATTAACAAGTGTAAAGAAAAAAAAATGAATGGACAAAACCCAGACAATTTTATATTTTCGAGACTGTTAATAACTAAGGACATATTTACACTAAAATCTTTCAACATAGGTGGGCTGTTCTGGGGCTCAGAAAAACAAAACCAAACCTCCACCCTCAGTGAATTCAGAAGTCAGTTTTTGTGAACTGGAACCGTGTCAACTGCAGAAGGGGTCACAGCACACTTTGCTAGGCCACTTAAACTATCTGCCAGCAGAACTATTCAAACTGAACAGTGAAGTGAGAACAACCAACGAACGTACATACCTTTATAAAAGGTGATCTGATCTGCAGAACTACAAGTTTCTTTGAAGGTAACGAATACACTACAAGAAGAAATAAGTAAGTTTTGCATTTAGAAGTATCCAGATTTATCCAACTTACAAAGCTGAGGATAGTAAACCCTTCAGCTACCAATTCATATGGGAAAGCCTGGCAATATCCACGGTGTTAAAAATATGTATTTTTGTGCATTGTGTTCATTGGACTTAATTTCAGTTGTCATAAATTCAAAGGACTGAATGAAAAAAAAGATATGGTCTGCCTCCTGTAGAGATTCAGATAATCTCTTTATGCAGCTCTGCAAAGACTGACAGATTATTCTAAGATTTCCATGATTTAAGGAGGAAAAAAAAAAGATGAAATGCCATGACCTGGGAAAGAAACTAAGAATTTGAAGGGGGGAGAAGGAGAAACCATGTAAGGAAAAAAGCAAACATAGGTGGGAAGGAAGGAAGAAGAGAGGATAAATATCCTCCTACACCAAAAATTCAGCTTGCATCCCTGCTCTAAGTACCTGCACACTTCATGTTGGTTTGGATTAAAACTGCAGTTTTGGCTGCACTGCAATACAGCTGAAATTCAACATTTCTTACTGGTTCCATATGTCAAATTGGTTATCCAAGAGAACAATAGTAACAGTTTCCTCTGTGAAGTGTAAAAGCTTTCTTATCTGAAAGTTACTGAAGTTATTACCCACCTTAGTTTTAAACACTGTTCACATAAGCAATATGTAACAACAAAAAAAGTAAGGGTGACATTCTCCCACCTTATGCCACTTGCAAATACCTTCAGCATTCAACACACACCTTCAGCATTTATACTCAGCTCTGTTGAGTTTTCTTCTGCCGTTGCATACGGATTATTTCCAACCATTGGCACCAGGCATTCAGTGTAAAAGTAACCAACTTTAGTCATATCCAGTGTGGAAATCACTAGATCTATTGCCAGTTGACCAACATTTCCCACCGACACTGCTGGCTGAAGTAACAGAAGTTATGGAATTACAGTGTGTTTTATGGACACCATGAGATGCTCTTCAAGTATTGAAGGTTTAAATTTCTTCATGAACATGACTTCCTAAAAGTGGCTGCTCATTCTCTGACAGAGGTGACTGCTTCTTGCTAACACACACTTTGGTCCCTGTCCCACAAAAACATCCTGACCACTTCTGTGAATAATCCTGCCTCACTGAAAATTAAACAAAGCCTTGGAAACTTGTCTCCTCCCTCTCTTTTTTTGGATACAGAGAAGGTAAATCACTCAAAGAACTAATGCTGTGATTGGCAGGCCTCAAGTGACACCTAATGGTAATATTGATATTACATATTAAACCTGTAAACCTCAGTTTGACTCGTATACGAGGTGTTTTTCATCTTTTAAGGATGAAAATGCTAAGGGTCATCTTGGATCCGCGTCGCAGGAATTGCCAAGGGTGATCACCAACCGGGGCAGACACTGACCTAGGCTGATGGCAAAGAAATTCAAGAGTTTGTGTCCTACAGAAGCCATTACAAGAAGACAACAGTAAAGTTTTCGGTTGCTTCCCTCTAATTTATAAGCAGCCCTCGCAGCCCGCGCTTCCCGCCCGGCCGCCGCCGCTCCCAGCAGCCGGGACATGCTCCCGCCTGCAAAACGTCACACGGCGTTTTAATGTCGGAGCGACGGCACACAGCTATAGCGGGGCACGTAACAGCCGGGAAGGAGCAAAACCGCGGGGCTGAGGAGGGAGAAATGGACGGAGACGGAAGAGACCGCGACAAGCCCTGGGAAGGACCCCCGCAC